AATACAGAATTATTTTAGACGAATATGCTTGCACTCTGTCACGGACTAGATATATTTAAAATAATGTAGGCCACTTTTTACTGGTAACATAAGACACTTGGCATTATCGGACCCACAAATATTCCCTCATTGCATTATTATACATTACATTCAATCTTATAGACCTTATATAGCCACGCCCCTTTTCCGCGCTGAGCTCATTGTCTTTTGACTTCCGGTCTGTATTTTCACAGCGATCTTGCGTAGTTATGAATGAACGGCTCGTTAAAAAAATCCCCAAGGTCCATTTGTTAAGACATATGCTTTACAATGCTTATCATAAACATTACAATGGTCATGATAACTTTCGTTAACTCTACAATAAGTAAATCAACTTCACCAGCTAATTACTCCTGGACAGCGATGCCATAGAAATATACAGAGCGACCGCAAAAACGGAAGTTCAAAGACAATATTCTAAAGATGGCGGCGCCCTCGTTTCTCTGGTGCATAAGGTCTATATAGTAGTTTAATGTAGTACTGACAATAAAACAATGTAAACTTGAATCTCACACAGTCATTTTTATTTTGGGTGAACTATCCACGATACATACTGTTGCATTTTCGTATTGCGATATATTGTTACACCCCTAATGCTTAGTTAATGTTTCTATGAAGCCCCTCCTTTCAAAAGGCGGAATGTGCTCTGATTGGTAGGCTGGATCAGTGTGTTGTGATTGGTCAGCCACTTCGAGCGTGTTTCTGAAATGTCACGCCCCATAACCATGTTTCAACACACTATTAACAGAACTCAGCCAGGCCTCACCCCTTTATTTTGCGTATGCCTTGGGCGGGAATATAATTAAATGAGGAATACATAACACAATTGTGATTTTATTGTGATACGTAACATAACACTCTAAAGAAAGCTTATAATGATGTTCTCATTATAATTTTATGTAGCCTATATGACAGACTTGGGAATTACATTTTCTTATCGGGCCGATAACATAAAAAATTAACACATATCGGACAGCCGATATATCGTGCATCCCTACAAAATACCCCTTTTCCCCCCTTAACTCTTCTTCTTCCTCAGTCAAGGGGGTAAAACAGGGGCCGTGCAGAAGTGCGTCACGTGTAGGGGCCGTGGCATGCGGATCATGATCAGACAGTTGGCTCCTGGCATGGTACAGCAGATGCAGTCTGTGTGCACCGACTGCAATGGAGAGGGTGAGAATTCAGTACTATTCATTGTTTTTATGCAGTGAACATGATTTGTGATGGTCTAAATTCAACATTTAAATGCTTGGTTGCGTTTGTAGGGGAGGTGATCCACGAGAAAGACCGCTGTAAAGAGTGTGACGGCCGTAAGGTGAGTAAAGAGGTGAAGGTCTTGGAGGTGCACGTGGATAAAGGAATGAAACATGGACAGAAGATCACATTCACCGGAGAGGCGGACCAGTCGCCCAACACAGAGCCTGGAGACATTATACTGGTGATGCAGGAGAAAGATCATGAGGTAAAACACACACGAAGAGCAGAAAAGAGATAATAGTTGGACTCTAAATGACAACTTTTTTTTTTTTTGACCAATACTTTATTATGCTTTTCTCACGAACAAAGTTACCAGCATTAACACTGAGAAATTTTCATTGAGTTAATTCAGTGTGGAGGACATAACTGAAAACAAATATAAAACGGATATACACAAGAGAAACAGATACACATACATAAAGAATATTAATAATAATGAAAAAAGAACTATATACATAATGTCAGAGATGGATGAATAAAAACTATTTTGATTATCGGTTAATGGTTACAGACAGTAATTACACAACTTTTTCCATGCTCTTCCTTAGATAAATGTGCACACTGAAGTCTATGAATGAATTCTGTAGGTTATATATAATACACTGTATAGGTTACAATAAAAGTCATAAATTAAGTTTGAAAGCAGCAGTACAGTTTAAATAAAGTTACCAAACAACAGGCTGAGAATTACTAAATAACATTTATAAAATTAAAACATTTAGGTTTATTCTTTTTTTAGTACCCTGGTAAAATAACTGCTCATAAAAAACAACATTACTTGTGCTGCATACATGATTTCAAATTTTGGTTAGGATTAATTTCAACTTAAATTTGATGTTGAAGCATGAATATCGTTTTGATAAATGATAGTGCACATTGTTTCATTTACATGTATGCAAGCAGCATTTAATCACTTTCTGGCTATTGGGATGTGCTGTTTTGCAGAATGACAATATTTTCATTATAGAAATATAACATTAAAATGTAAGTAATTGCATTTTCCACTACTTTTAAAGAACAAAACCTTCAGTATGATGTCTTTGTATGCAGGAGTTCCGTCGTGATGGAAACGATCTGCACATATGCCACAAGATTGGCCTGGTGGAGGCGCTCTGCGGATTTCAGTTCATGCTCACGCACCTTGATGGACGGCATCTCGTCATCAAATATCCCCCAGGCAAAGTCATAGAGCCAGGTAAGCACAGGTTTTTTTTTTTTTTTTTTTTTTGTTCTTGTTTTTATAGAATATTTTCTCGGAATTGTCCTTGTGTCCTTTGCCAGGTTCTATAAGGGTCGTCCGGGGGGAAGGAATGCCTCAGTACAGAAACCCGTTTGAGAAAGGAGATCTGTTCATCAAGTTTGATGTGCAATTTCCTGAGAACGGCTGGATCAGCACAGAGAAACTAACGGTGAGATTCCAGCAGTGTTGACTAAAACTATTAAACATTGTTTTCATTTATTGAAATAAAGCTGAAATAAAATACAAATAATAAATAAATAAAAATTCTACTTAAAGGTGCATTGCGCAACATTTCATGTTAAATATACCAGTTTTTCTAACCCATACATGCTTAAAGAATTGCCTGATGGGCTGAATGAGCCCTTCTCTGATCATCACTGCGATTGCCTCTATAATCCTGTACAGTAAAATAAATAATAGGGATTCGGGACGGAATTTGAGACTGGGCGTGACGTCACGCGCGTTCACGCTCAACTGGCTATGTCTGGCAGGTTTGTGTATTCGCCGGCGCCGCAATTCTCCGTATCAGCGAAGACAACTCGAGCGACAAAACTTTAGTCAACTTTCGACAAAAGTAGAAGATGGATTCAAAGAGACCGGCTTGTAGTTCATTCCGAACCCCAACGCAAACTCCATGTAAGACAAAGAAAAGAAAATGTTTGTCTAGTGCCACCAAAAGGGGCAAATTGGAGTCAGTCAGGCGTCGGAGTAAGACGAGAGTCAACCTCAGGCTTTCAACAAATGGAGAGATCTCCGGTCTGCTCTAGGGCTCAAACGGGATCCTCAGTTGGCTTTTTTCTTGATAAAACGGTTCATGATTGTGTTTCCATAATAATACAATCATAAGTGGATACAGTAAACACATAAAACAGTTCAACATGGAGATAGATGGAAACAAAAACCGAAGTTTTCTAATACCCCCGTTTTCCCCTCATACATAAGTGTGTAATTTACTCAAATGCCTTTCCTTTCATATATTTAAAATGACTTGCAGATTTATAACTTCATTACCTCTGAAGACATTATGACTAAACAAAAGATTTGTGCGGCTGATGCTCCTTTGGTTATGAACATGAGCATGCACACCTCTGGTTGCAGTTTCGCTTGTCGCCAGAGGGGGGCATAGTTCTGCAAAAACTCAGAGACTAGCGCAATGCACCTTTAAGCGTAAAAATAAAATTTGAAATTACACAAATACACTGAAAATATAAAAATAAAATAAATCAAAATATTAATTAAATACTATAATAGTATATAAAAAAACAATGGTTTTCAAAAGTACACACATATTAGGTACAATTGTTAGGTTTTTATCTTAATAGTCCTTTTAAGACTAAAAAAGACTAGACCATTTTTATGAAAGCAATTTTTTTTAGCTTTTATTAATATGCTAGCCTTAAGGTTATGAATAAGCTGGTGTGTTCCAAAATAATGACAAAATTCGCATTGAGGAGATATAAGCACTCAACTTGAGAGACTCAAAACAGTCTCTCACTTCCGCTGAAATGGATCGCGGATGTTTATGACATCACCGCGGACTTCAGCTTCTCATCAAATCTTCTGTCCAATCAAATGCTCACTAGAATGTAAAGCGTAAAGCACCTGGCCAAAGCTACCGTTGACATGTCACGGAGCAATATGGGTTGGAGATGTGTTCAGTTGCTCAAACGCTCGAGTTGTATTCCGTTTTCCAGCTGTACGATGGTTAAGAATGAAATGGTAGCTTGAATTTATTCACACCTCTACTACCGTATCGTCAGCGCTCGGATTCGCTTCCATGGTGCTGTCAAGTACGACTTGTAGTCTGTGAGGTAAACCAAACGCTATTGGCTATTTGAAAAGGGGGAGGAGCCATTCAATATCTCCCGCCTTAGCTTCCTGTTTCAGTGGAAATTACATCAACGCATCATACAAAGCTGCGCGTTCAAAGGCACTTCAGTGGGCCTTTAAAATGCGTTCTAAAGTAGCTTACTAGGTCTTGACTGAAGACAAATAGCTCCATCTTGTCAGTTCTACTCACTGTTTTCATGTCTGCGTCTGTTCATACAGGAGTTGGAAGATCTGTTGCCGTCACGTACAGAGGTTCCTGTCATCTCAGCGGATGCGGAGGAAGTGGATCTGCAGGATTTTGACCTCAGTCAGGGATCAGCAGGCAGTCACCGCCGTGAAGCTTACAACGACAGCTCTGACGAGGAAGGGGGTCCGCATGGCCCGGGAGTGCAGTGCGCCCACCAGTAGTCCCACAATTCTTTGCAAGTTTTGTTTGGGGAAGTGTTTAGATTCCCTTTTGTCGGACAGATTCCATCCTCACCCTCCACGTTTAATCATATAGTGAACCGAACACACACACACTTGCAGTATATATAGACATACACTTACACTTGCATTATTTACTGCAATCTCACATGCAAACCTACAAGTAAACTCATTCATGCGCCATTTTAAAAGAAAAGACAAGCATAACTAGAGGCAAAGCAAAATAATTTATTCACTACTTTCATTTCCATTGTAGACATTCACAGTATATATGCTCTCTGAATATATATAAAACGCAACGTCTGCGGGGAGGCAGACTGTGTTGTTTAATTTATAATTAACACGCACGCACGCGTACGTTTGTTTTAAAAGACTGAGGCATTGTGCAGTTTTCTGGAGTTCAATAAAATGTTCAAACGTGTTTCATTATATACTTGCCAGGTATTCAGGCATTGTCAGTCATCTTGTACTAATAATTCAGAGGAAGTGCTGGTTTCTATTCAATGGCAGGACAGGATAACATGCATGTGGGCGTCACACTGAGATGAATACAAAGCAAACCAAACCCAAAAGTGTTTTAATGTGCTCACTGTCTATGGTAAAGTTATACGAGTCATGCAATTTATTATTTGCCAAAGAAACACAACAGTCTTCTTAAAAGATCAAGCGCCAATGTGTGTGCATGCATTGTAAGCACTAATATAAACTTATAGGGGGTGGCATTTATCATTGGCAATTAGGAAAGTGTTTGAACCTTGAACAAAAGTTGCTATCGTTCAAACACAGTTACTTTTGTGCTCCTACATCAATAAAGTTGATGAATGTTTTACTGTGTGTTCTGTATGTTTGTGGAAATGGGTTTGAGTATGCACTAGTGTCCTTCTTCGGTTTCGGTCATACGTTGAGCTGTGGGCGCAAGAAGCTCTTTAAATCCAGCTGTATTTCTATAAAACCAAACAAATGGATTAGTACAACTTTCATTTTCTGCTAGAGAGAACCTCATGATTTTCTTAGCATATTTCTGATGCTGCTCTTTTTGAATCACCATAGGCTGTTTTGTGTGGAAGCCGCACAGCAAATAAAAAAGGTAATAGCGAGTTTATATCGCAATTCTGACTGAGTGAGAGAAAAAAATCAGAAATCCACGAAAAATAGCCACAGTTACGGCTTTTTATCTCATTTCAAAAGTCATTGAAAGTATCACTTTCAACTTTTAATACATTTATGGACTTATGCCATAATTATGACTTTCTATGTCATCATTTTGTTATTTCATATCACAAATATTACTTAGTATGTCATAATTTGAACTTTTTATATTATAATTTTGGTAACACTTTATTTTAAGGTGACACACAGTTGTTACTACATGTACTTACTATAGTAATAACAGTAAATTATGCATAATTACAAGTAACCAAACCCTAACCCTTACCATAAGTCTATAGTAATTACACATAGTTAATTAAAATTACTCTGTACTTACTCAAATAAGTACTATGTAACTATTTTAATTTCATAATTATGATTTACCAAAGCATTATTTTTTGTTGGAAATGGGCTTCCATATTGTGGTCCATAAGACTAAGGAGATCAGGAACAAGAGTGAATGTTACAAGAAATTTAATTAAATTAACTAGCCTAGCATATGTGCGCATACGTTACCTCTCTCGTCTGGTCTGGAGAATGCATGAGCGCTCTCTCCTCATTTGCTGGAGTTTCTCTCTCACTAAAGTTTTCTGTTGTAGCTCATCCTCCTAGAACATTCAATCGACATTTACATCATGTCCACACAGTGGTGTGTGAAAGAGAATGCACATGAATTTGTGTGTACCTGTCGTAGTGTGTCAGTCAGATGCCTGAGTGTGTCTTCCTGCGTCAGGCCCAACAGATCTTCATCTGCCTTCCGACTCTGGACGATGGCCAGTCGCTCTTGAACCTCAACAGATCAAAACAATTTACTCGGATTTCAATAGTCAACTATAAACTTTTACCCTCTTTATTGTCAACTTGAAATGAAAAGTGACCCTGTTTACATATTTAATTTACATTCCTGGTCTTGCTGTGCGGATTTGGCAGTGAATATCCTGTTTCACCCAAAAACGTCATATTATGAATGAAAGTAAAATGGGTTATGAATTCAATAAAGGTCCAAAAGCATAGGATATGGCCCTTTTTTAACAAAATATTCCGCAAATAAAACATATTAAATGAAGCAAATTTCTGCCACATAATAAAAAATTATTTCTTTGGTCAATCCTAATTATGACATAAAGGCCTTGTTTTACAGACAGACAGGGCTTAAGATTAATCCAGGATTAGGCCTTAGTTCAATTAGGACATTTAAGTAGCTTTTATAAATGTGCCTTAGAAAAAAAAAAACATTACTGGTGTGCATCTTGAGACTAAACAATGGCAGAGACATATTTTAAGATATGACAGACAGTGCAAGTTGCTTTCAGTTAAAACAACTCAAACATGCATTTTAGGGACTAGGTTTAAGCCCTGTCTGTGAAACGGGAAAAAGCCTACATTATGAGATACTATATCATAATTATGAGATAAAAAGTCAAAATTATGACATAATCATTATGATCAGTCAAAAATATAAGATAAAGTAATGATTATGACACAAGTCAAAATTCGAATAAAAAGTCAGAATTATGACATAAAATACTTTTTGTCAAAAACATGTTTAAACCTCATTATGACTTCATAACTTTGACTATCTCATAACTATGTCTTAGTATCTCATAATTCTGGCTTTTCTATCTCATAATTATGTTATGTCATAATTTCACCTCTTTTATGTATTATGACTATTTTTCTCATAATTTTTCTCATATTTGTGATCAGTTTCTCATGTAAACTTTTTATGTCAAGTATAATTTACCAAAAGCATAATTTTTGTTGTTGTGTGACAGAAATAAGCTTCCAATAAATATTGTGAAGCATTCCAATATTATTCTGCAGATGGCACAGATGAGTTTGCTCACTCGGAGTAGTTGTCTGTCTCTGTCCCGTTGCCAGCGTCGCTCTGCTTTCCTCTGGATGTCCACAAGGCAGCGCATGGTGGCGTCCCGCTGTAACTGCTGCTCCTCACCCGCTCTCTCATAGATCTCCTGGTTCCTCTGCTCCTGAAGTGAGGCCTCCTTCTCATGGGTCTCCAATGTTTGCGTGGGTTCAGCGTCTGGGACACTTGCTGGTGGCGTGTCAGTGTTTTGTAGCAGCTGTGTAGGTGTTGAGTCGGGCTGATGGGTGTCTCCGAGAGGTTGCCGTGTGAACTCTCCATCTCTTATATCCTCCTGTTGCTGCCCAGCCTGGAAAAAAAAAAAAACATGATATTTGCTGTATAATTATTGTGAAATAAAGATTCCTTGTGATTTTAGATTTCAAAGACAAAGTGATAGAAAAACACTGGATATTGACTGTAACCTATTTATTTATTTTGTTTGTTTTGTTTCAGTTCCAGCTTTAATTCTTGGGTTTGAGAAATACAGTTTAAAATTGAAAATTAGTATTGTTATTAGTATTATTATTTTCAACATGCATTAACTTTTAAGTTAAGTTTAAGTTTTAAGAACCCCAAGGGAGACCTTCAGGGGGTTTCTGAGATTGTGTAAAACACTAAACTGGGAACACTTTACAATAAGGTTCATTAGTTAACGTTAGTTAATGTATTAACTAACATGATCTAACAATGAGCAAAACATTTGTTGCAGTATTTCTTAATATTTGTTAATGTTAGTTAATATAAATACAGCTGTTCATTGTTTGTTCATGTTAGTTCACAGTGCATTAACTAACGTTAACAAATACAACCTTTGATTTTAACAATGTATTAGTAAATGCTGAAATTAATATTAGCTAAGATGAATAAATGCTGTAGAAGTATTGTTCGCTCTTCATGTTAACTAAGGTAGTTAACTGATGTTAACTAATAAACCTTATTGTAAAGTGTTACCACTAAACTAACTAACAAACTAAACTTACCTTAAATGAACTAACTAAATAAAGACAAAATAAATACTTAAAACATTTTCATTAAATGTTAATAATAAAATACTAATACAAATATTTCACAAAGGAGTAACCTCCAAAAATGTGAAAATGTTGTGCATTATTACAATCTAGGGCACTTCAAGTAGACATTTTATATCACAGGTTTTCATCTAACAAACAAACAAACAAAAAAGGCTGAGAACCCAGATCTATTTCTAATTTTACGTATTATATATACAAAAAGCAATACAGTCACGGTTCAAAAGTAATTTGAAGTGACTCTTACTGTGATGAAGCCTGAATGGTCTTGTTGGATCAGTGTCTGTGTCTCTCCTTTCTCACTATCTGAATGCGTTTCTTCATACTGTGCACTTAGCTGCAGTGAGACCGAGCTTATGTTCTCCTGGTGTGTGTAGATGTTCACATCATGTGGATTTGTGTCAGGGACGTGTGTGTTATTATCTCTATCCTCCTGCACTGTAATAGAGACGGCCTCTTCCTTCTGTTGAAGAGTCACTTCCTGTAGAAATCAAACCTTTCCATGTATAAATGAACAGTTTGAGGTGATTTAACACAGAAAGAGTGCATGTGTGTATTGCATGTGTACCTGAATGTGATCCTCTCCGTGGGTTGGTTTGCTCCAGGCCAGTGTGATCAGAGAGTTTTGTTTCTCCACTGAAATCTCCTCATGGTCTCCTTTGCTCTTAATGTCTCCTTCTCTTTGTCTGTCTCCGTCCCTCGCCTCCATCATGCTCACTTCATTTCTTGGGTCTTTGACATACACAATCTCTAAATATGGAGTATCTTCTGGATCTAAAACCATGCCACATCCTTCAAACACAGAAATACAGAATAAATGCCTTGCCCGTGTCTCAACAAGTTAATGCAATTTTAATGTATACACTACCATCAAAAGGGGGTCAGTAAGAATTTTTTTTAAGGAAATAATACTTTTATTCAGCCAAGGATGCATTAAACTGATCAAAAGTGACATTAAAAACAGTCACAAAAGATTTATATTTCAAATAAATGGTGCTCTTTTGAACTTTCTATTCATCATAGAATCCTGAAAAAAAAATTAATAAACATGGTTTCCTCAAAAATCTTAAGCAGCCCAACTGTTTTTCATCATTGATAATAACAAGAAACATAATTCATGAGCAGCAAATCAGCATATTAGAATGATTTCTGAAGGATCATGTGACACTGAAGACTGAAATTCAGCTCTGGCATCACAGGAATAAATGACATTTAAATATATTCAAATAGAAAACACTTATTTTCAATTTCAATAATATTTTTTATAATTATTTTATCAAATAAATGTAGCCTTAGTGAGCATAAGAGACTTCTTTCAAAAACATAAAAAAAATGACCTCAAACTTTTGAACGCTAGCCTTCGCTAGGGTACATGTATATATGATAAATGCAGGGATAAATTCTCGTATCCCTGTTTAAAACTTCATCTGTAAGGCATTATATTAAGGATGTGGCATGAATGTTTGTCATTTACCAGTGCAGAGTTCTTGTTTTTCACCATCTGACAGCTCTTCATGCTCCTGTTCAGACCTCTCTCTCTCCTAACAGAGACACAGGACACAGTTACTCACCTTGTATTCCCTTCAATTGAATATCTAGTTCATCTCTTCAAGTGAAGGTTCTTCGCTGGTTTCTTCAAGTACTTTAGGTTCAGCAAAGAATATTCTACTGTAAGTATCAAAAACCATTTCTCAAAGTAAAGGGTTCTTGAGTTGTACTGGTTCTCTGGATATTAAAAAAAGTTCTTAAAAATAAAGGTTTCAAAAGGGGGTTTTCACAGCAATGCCCCTAAAGAACCATTCAGTCAACAGTTCTTAGAAGAACCATTTTTCTTAAGCCCCTTTCACACAGAGATTCCGGAAAATACATGGATAAAGCGACCCGGGATTTGACCCGGGTTCGTTTGATTTTGGTTCATTCACACTGCCAGTGATTTTCCGGAATCAGAGAGTGCGTTCACACACAACCCGTAAAATTCCCGTAAAGACACGTGACATCGATGTGACATGTAATGCCTCAGCAGCGTGTATAGTTTGCTTATGAGCTGCGATTGTGCATTTTTTTTCTCTGATTCGATCATAAACTAGCGCATTACGTACCATTTCACTAGCCTGCTTTCACTTCACTTCAGCGTCATCATTACGACACGGCATTGCTTACGGCTTTTGTTCACACAGCGCCCGTTCCGGGACTGATCCCGGCAATCTAGGTCCTCAACCCGGCATCAATCCCGGGTCGTGTTTGCGTTCACACAGAAGGCGTTCTGGCAATTTCCCGGGATCAACGCGCTGTGTTAAAGGGGCTTTAGTGTGAAGGACATTTTAAAAATCTAAAGAACCTTTTTCCACTATAAAGTGTAGGCTCTTCAGAACATTCCTTAGGTTCTAGGTATCATCTGTTAAAAGCAAAAGAGGACTTGCTCTATAGATCTAGTGCATATATGATTTTGGCATCAGGAAAGCATGATATGTGATTGGTGATGTCTAAGTGTGGAAGTCATTTGTCATTACGGTTTCAGCGTTCACTGTGTTGGTGCCTCTGCTGGCGTGTGCTGGCACACGTGACTGAAAAACTTCATGCAGGTTTTCGAAACTGGGTCCATGCAGTTCACTCTCATATTTGTGAAGCAAAGTCCAAAGACCCTCAGGGTCCTGAGAAAGGAAAGAGACTGGATCAAACAAGCTATTAAAAACATAGAGACGTTAAAAATTGTGGTTTAAATCTCATTTATCACACTGCAAATTGTCCATTTGAGTGAACTGCATTGTGGGATGCCTAGGATTTGCACATTTTAGCAAACATGTATTCCATGCATATACTGAAATTTCACAGACTGTGCTAAACATACATACTAAATACTGCAGAAATAATGATAGTATGCTATTCAGAGTGAGTGCATGTGAGATTCACCAAATCTGGCAGAGAGTATAAAACAGTCCAGGCCTCATCTTCATGTGCTTGTGTCAGCTTAGTCAGCAAATGAATGGCACATTCCACCCATGAGACATCTATCCGAGAACACCCTGGGGCGAAGGGTCCAGTATAAGAACCATGTGCTTCCTGTAGAGCAGCTTTAATCTGCTGCAGCCTCAACACACAACTCTGATCCACTGCGTTTCCATGCACCACGTCTTAAAGACACAAAAATACACACTTTTAATGAAAACCAGAGAAGGGATATTTTACTGCTGATGTGCTTCTAATGCTCAATTATTAGTCATTTTGGCTAGTTCCCCCCAAAATTAAATGCAAATCTGGATTTGGAACAACACGAGAGTGAATAATTAATGACAGAATAATAATTTTTGGGGCAACTATCCCTTTAATAGTGATATTTGTGTTTTTATATGTAGATGATTAACTGTTGTTTTCCTGAATGTTTCGGAGCCCCTGGAGGTCGCTCAGGGAAACCCTGTGCAAGATCTCCAACAATTGTTTCCTTTCCTGCTCCTGACACAGAACCAAAAACTGCAGCACAGCCTGATGGGTAAGAAAATAAACAACTTGCAATAAAACTGCACATAACACGAGCATATAAGAGAAATATTGTTGGCTTCAAGTCATGTTGGAATGAATATATTTTTGAGATAATCATACACGAATGTATGTATTTAGCAATAGTACTGTTGATAAAGCCGATACCAAATGAGGAGACCAAATTATTTCCCCATGGTTTTCCTAAATTTTCCATCATTTTCTGTAGGAGCACAATAATGACAAAATGTCATTCAAAAGTTTGGGGTCAGTGTTTTTTTTTTTTGGAAAGAGAGAATTAAATTGATCAAAAGATAAGTAAAGCAGTAAAGCCATTGATAATGTTACAAAACATTTCAACAAAAAAATGCTGTTCTTTTGAAATCCTGAAGAAAAATGTATGATGGTTTCCACAAAAAAATATTCCTGTTTTCAACTTTTTTTCAACATCCACAATAGTAAGAAATGTTTCTTGAGCAGCAAATCAGCATATTAAAATGATTTATGAAAGATCATGTGACACTGAAGACTGAAAATTCAGCTTTATTTGTATATAACATTTTAAATTGTAATAATAATATTCACAGTACTGTATTTTTGACCAAAAATAAATGCAGCCTTGCATACAAGACTTTTTCAAAAACATTAAAAATTGTACCCCAAAAATTGACCTCAAACTTTTGGTGGTGATTAAATAACAACTGCACATAATGCAAATGAAGATAATACATTTTATTTATATTTTTAAAAGGTCTTTCTGTCTTTGTCAGTAAGTAAACAAGAAAAATTGCCCAACAAGTTCATTTAATTCCAACTTATAACACATATATACACATAACACAACTTAACTTTCAAATTCCTAAACAGGAATTTGGAGGATTTGTATTTGAAGGCAGCAAATAACACGTGTACTGTATGTGCACACAGTACCTGCTGTGTGCAATTTACTTTTCTCCAGCCCAGCTGTTTTTTAACGGTGGGATCCACATTTTCCTGAAGCCAGATTCTAGAGAGTTCCTGACTGACTGAGCCTCTCATATAAGGCCTAGAACACACAGAGATGGTTTTTATTCAAGCTTGCACACTTTGGAGTGAAAATTGGTGAATGAGTCAGCATACAGTCAGTGTTTAAAACCCATATTTAACACGCTCACCATCTGTCCCAGTGCTGTCTGGCGACCAGCAGTGCTGTGTAGGACTGTTCTTCTCTCTCAGCTCTCCGCACAGCGACACACATACTGAGATATATTACACGCAGAGCTTCCTGTCCCACTCTGCAGGAGCAATACATCACATCACAACATTGTGGAACCATTAGCATAGATATTACCATTAATATAATAGATTGATATTGACATTAAAAAGTCATGCTTAACTATGGCAGTATGTGAATGTCAACATTTCTAGTTGTGCATGCTCAAATTTCTTGTGTCATTGTGTTTGTGTTGCATTCTCAGGGTAGCCAGAAGAGGCACTATAGTGGGCAAAAACATTAAACCTTCTTCTTCTAATCTATGGTGTATTATGTCTGGTGTATTCGAACCATAGACAGTAAAAGAAATGGACACAGCGACCCCATAGACTTCAACGCAGAAAAGTGAAGCCAATTAGAAGCACTCACTTCCTGATGGCTGAGCGTACTGCGCATGCTCAAACTGAGCTTGACGACGTAGATGTGACGTGAGCAACCTGTCTGACATTTGTAAGTCTTCTAGTAGCTGTGCCAAGAGGAATCTGAATCATTCCCTTCCGAATCTTGCAGAGCCGGAGAGTGTGAGTAGGAGCTGTCCATGAGCTCGCAGCAGGAGCAACTTTATGACTCTCTATGGGCTTCCCCCTTGACTGTATGCCTCCACGTCCCCCCGATTGCGCGCGAGCTTCTCCTCCTGCATGTCTATACGGTAATTTCTCTACTGTGCGACAGAGAGTCGCGTGTTATGACGCAATCGTTAGCCTATTTTTATAAAAACGGCTTCTATGGGGCCATAACGTAAGATACAAGGTAATGGAGCCTTTTATACATTGTCGTGTTTCTTTAGAAATAAATAATGGACAAATGGAGTCTTTGGACGCCTCAGATGTAAAGTTATTCGCTGTCAAAGTGACGGCAAAATGAATGGGAGTCAATGGAATGCTAACAGCAGGTGATGGTCTGCTACAATGGCGGCCCCCAAGGGAAGCTTCAGTTTCCGGCTGATGGATTACCCCCTTGATTCGTACTACTGATGCTGTTAGCCAATCACATACATCTATTAGAATTCATCAACCAATGAACACAATTGAATGACCTGTTCATGAGCGCGCTGATTGCTTCCTTCTCATCTTGATAATGTGACTCCAGCTCTAACAGGAAGATGACAGCGGACCAACCCTGTTCCCTCGGTTTGGATGACCAAGCCTGATCTCTAGGTTTAACACTCTCAGGACAGCCTCGCAACACCACAGAACCACAGCTCCTACCATATTCATCAAATAGAATTAAGTAGTAATGTATTTCGTGACACTTTAATTAAAGCCTTTAATGCATTATAAAAGTATTGTAATGCATTAATTATGCCTTGTAATGCACCTTATGATGCACTGCATCATATCATGATTAATTGTAACCACAGTCAGAATTCATTATAATTCTTATCTATTAATTGCTAATGTAATAAAGAATCTGCAAACATTATAATGCATTTTACCTTTGGTTACAATTGTTAATGAAAAGGTATAGTGCAATTTAATGTACATTGTGAATACATTTATAATGCATTAGTATTCAAATAAAGTGTTACCATGTAATTTTATATTTGGGTTTAAATGGCAAATATATAATGGAAGATTAGAAAATCAACATAGCTAGTATTACCTGTAGCACCGGAGGGCCCCGGGCAGCCCACACATCTGGAGAAGGTCTCTGTGTCTGAAAGCTTGCTCTACAAACGCTCCCAGTTCACACACGCAATCTGTCTGATCCCACGCTGACATCGAGTCCCACCAAACAACACCTTTAATTATGTGCAAAAAATACTCTTTAACTATTCTTTGAAAGGGAGTGTTTGAGTACTCTGAATTTGATCTTGTACCATACTCATCCTGTAACATCTCTCTGTACAGGTGCTCTTTGATGACGTCATATTTGTAGGACAGGAGTTGGAGGATGTCGGTACTGCTGGGAGAGATCCTGCCCGGTCGCATGCTCCCAGCGTTCCTCTGAGAAAGAGATGGTAGGACACTCCAAACACCATCAAGAACAAGTCTGGATCAGAAAGCAGGAGGAATATGTGGTACATTTGTGAGAGTATAAGCAAATTAACTAAAGAGTGTGTGTTTAAAGTGACCTGGTGTAAAGTCTCTTGGCCCTATTCTGAAGACACAAGATACTAAACTGCTCTGGATCTTGCTCCTAGAAGAAAAAAATACAGAATATCACCAAGTATATAATGTACACATATGTATCAGACACCTTGCAAGGCGATTTTCAAATTAGTAAATGATCATGATTCTAGCTAAAATAGAGTGCAAAGCTAAACAACTAAAAAATACAATTTTAATTTTAAATATGAATTTGTATGGACTAGTTTTTTACCAGTTGTTTAGAGATGCAGTTGATTGTTGAGGACTGTGCGTTTTGTTCGAGAGTACGACCGATTCTACCAGCCTTCAACATCTGGAGCTCCCAGTACAGCTACAGAAATCATAAGCAGTTTACGTTCACGTCTTTTAATTAAAAAAAAAATAACTTCACAATTTAATCCTACATGATTTTCAAATTCAGGAACCCAAAAGACCCAAAGCAAAGCCAAATATCTAAGATAAGGGTTCACTCTAAGAAAAAAAATCCATAGAAAACGAATAATGTCCTGGCAGATTTTTTTTATGGACATTTCCTACAACCCTAAAACACAATGCGTAAAATACCTGAGAAGAATCAATACAGAAAATGCCTTGAAATTAACATGGTACATTGCGCTGTATTTTTCCTGGCTTTTCTTAGAGCGTTAAAGGGATAGTTCACCCAAAACTGAAAATTCTGCCATTAATTACATATGTGAATAAAAGCCTATAAACCTATAAGCGAGTCTCTTCAGAAAATTTGGACTAAACCGGTCAATTCATATGGATTAGTTTTACGATCTCTTTACTGTATGAACCTTCTGAAGCGTCAAAGTGGTAGTTGCATAGACTGTCAATGGAGGGACAGAAAGCTCTCAGATTTCATCAAAAAGATCTTCATTTGTGTTCCGAAGATGAACGAAAGCCTTAGGGGTTTGGAACGACATTAGGGTGAATTACACAACAGGAATTAATGACAGAATTTTCATTTTTGGGTGAACTTTAACCTCTAAAATTGAGTGTATATATATATATTAGAGCTGCATAATTCTGGATAAATTGAGAATCACGGTGGTTTTGTGAAAGGTTTAATAGACAAAGGCAAATCATTATCATTTAGGAATAAGATTGCTGAATACTGATTAATCGTGCAGCTCTAATATATATATACAGGTCCTTCTCCAAAAATTATCATATTGTGATAAAGTTCATTATTTTCCATAATGTAATGATAAAAATTAAACTTTCATATATTTTAGATTCATTGCACACCAACTGAAATATTTCAGGTCTTTTATGGTTTTAATACTGATGATTTTGGCATACAGCTCATGAAAACCCAAAATTCCTGTTTCAAAAAATTAGCATATTTCATCCGACCAATAAAAGAAGTGTTTTTAATACAAAAAAAAAAGTCAACCTTCAAATAATTATGTTCAGTTATGCACTCAATAGTCAATACTTGGTCGGGAATCCTTTTGCAGAAATGACTGCTTCAATGCGGCATGGCATGGAGGCAATCAGCCTGTGGCACTGCTGAGGTGTTATGGAGGCCCAGGATGCTTCGATAGCGGCCTTAAGCTCATCCAGAGTGTTGGGTCTTGCGTCTCTCAACTTTCTCTTCACAATATCCCACAGATTCTCTATGGGGTTCAGGTCAGGAGAGCTGGCAGGCCAATTGAGCACAGTAATACCATGGTCAGTAAACCATTTACCAGTGGTTTTGGCACTGTGAGCAGGTGCCAGGTCGTGCTGAAAAATGAAATCTTCATCTCCATAAAGCTTTTCAGCAGATGGAAGCATGAAGTGCTCCAAAATCTCCTGATAGCTAGCTGCATTGACCCTGCCCTTGATAAAACACAGTGCAACAACACCAGCAGCTGACATGGCACCCCAGACCATCACTGACTGTGGGTACTTGACACTGGACTTCAGGCATTTGGGCATTTCCTTCTCCCCAGTCTTCCTCCAGACCATTTCCGAATGACATGCAAAACTGAGCAACAGTCCAGTGCTGCTTCTCTGTAGCCCAGGTCAGGCGCTTCTGCCGCTGTTTCTGGTTCAAAAGTGGCTTGACCTGGGGAATGCGGCACCTGTAGCCCATTTCCTGCACACGCCTGTGCACGGTGGCTCTGGATGTTTCTACTCCAGACTCAGTCCACTGCTTCCGCAGGTCCCCCAAGGTCTGGAATCGGTCCTTCTCCACAATCTTCCTCAGGGTCCGGTCACCTCTTCTCGTTGTGCAGCGTTTTTTGCCACACTTTTTCTTTCCCACAGACTTCCCACTGAGGTGCCTTGATACAGCACTCTGGGAACAGCCTATTTGTTCAGAAATTTCTTTCTGTCTTACCCTCTTGCTTGAGGGTGTCAATGATGGCCTTCTGGACAGCAGTCAGGTCGGTAGTCTTACCCATGATTGCGGTTTTGAGTAATGAAACAGGCTGGGAGTTTTTAAAAGCCTCAGGAATCTTTTGCAGGTGTTTAGAGTTAATTAGTTGATTCAGATGATTAGGTTAATAGCTCGTTTAGAGACCCTTTTCATGATATGCTAATTTTTTGAGACAGGAATTTTGGGTTTTCATGAGCTGTATGCCAAAATCATCAGTATTAAAACAATAAAAGACCTGAAATATTTCAGTTGGTGTGCAATGAATCTAAAATATATGAAAGTTTAATAATGAACTTTATCACAATATGCTAATTTTTTGAGAAGGACCTGTATATATTATAAGCAAGATTATATATATGTAATATGTATAATATTACTTTAGAAATAAGAAAAATAAAGTAAAGCTGAGTATTTTAGAGAAATATAGAAGGAATTAAATAAAAAAAATACCTCTTCTCTGTTCTCCCGCTGTTTCTCCATCACAAGGAGAACGTGCAGAACTCTTCTGGCTGAACATGACAACCCTCCACTCTGACCTCTGACCTGAACACATCAAACTCTGATATCACATTAAACATTTCTTATTTCTTTCTCTTTCTACTTCTCTTTTCTGTCTCGCTCTTCTCATTCATGTGATTCTGAGCCGAATGACTGTGTTCCGAATGTTCACCTGTGAAATGGCTGTCTTTGTCTCCTCCAGGCTGGCGGTGATGAGAAAGACGCTCTTATAGAGGGAACAGATGACGTCCATGCCGACCTCATCCTCCGCATGTACACCGATGGTCTCACAAACCAAATGCAAGCACTCTTCCATCCTAAAAAAGACAAAGCATTTCATATAAGCTCAATTTCATCACCACAAATGTCTTTGAACGAAATAAATATACACACTACAAGCACAATCAACATAATGAAATGTGTTCTTGCTGTACATCTTAATGCAAATATAAAATACAAACATAACAGATAGCTCTACCTTATATAATTCCAACTTGAAAAGAGAAAGTGTCTCACTTGTTCGATGAGTTTATCTTCATGAATGATGCACGATTACAACAAAGCCACGTCTGTTGCTGAGGAAACCTTTAGGGTCAGATTACAGTGGCAGCTTAGCGCTGACCACACTCTTCCTCAGGCAAATCATGACACCCAATCAGCTACAATATATAAAAAGCCTGGCTGAATCCTACTGTAAACCTTGTGTTAGATAGCTCTTATTTTATTTTTGGTTAAATTGAAACATTTAGGATTTACTTTGAGTTAAAATGACATTTATGTTTTATATCAAAGTTGAAGAAATTGAGTTTTGCTGAAAATTATTAAGACAACCAACCAAACATTGTAAGACCACAATATATATTGGTTGAGCAAATATCCGCAATATAATCTTTTGTATTCTACAGTAAATCTAATACTATAAAGTATTATCACTATAATCTAAATCTAAAAAACCTGTTTTTCACTAAATGTAATTTTGAGTAAGCCATTTTAAATGAGCAATAAGAACAAGCACAGACTGGGTAAAGGTGGTATTTGGTGTAATAACGCAACACAGTAAATATGAGAATACTTTAAATATGACATATACAAATACTGATGAATGTCAATGCACCTGATAACATACATACAGACATACACAACTCAAAATAATTCCGTAAAGGCACTATATCAGATTAGCTCTTTTTGTGTTTCTATTTTTCCATATATTCACTGTCAGTGTTGTAAACAAAATGATCAAATGTAATAACATATTGCTTATAAAACTCTGTATTTAAAGAGAGTGATAAAATATAGTCACAACACCAGTGCAACAGCAGAAAAGGCCCATCAAAAAAACAGTGCAACAAATCAAAACAAAAACTATGCAGATTTGTCTTTCCATTTTGTTCAAATCATTCATTTGTTTAAAAATATCAAATTGAAGAGGAAAATCCAAAATCTTTTATCTTGATGTTATGGCAAGCAACCATGCTAAAAAAGAAACCTAATGATGTTTTAAAAAAGCTTTTACCTCTTTGCATCTGTGGTGAAAGAAAGAGGAACACTTTGTCCATGTTTGCTCAAAATATTCTCCTATCACTGGATGGATGTGTAACTGACAATGTGTCATTTAGCTGCATTAAACACAGGTTAACGGTACAGGTTAACACTGGGTTAAAAGGACAGGTTAACACTGTTAGAAACACTTACAGACAGTAGCACCAATCAAAAACAAACAAACCACCAAATACAGTATACAGTAGAGGATTGTTAATGTGGTTTGAACTATAAAGTAAAAAACTGTAAATGTGCGTTAAGCTCAAGCATTTTAAAGTCAATACAAAACTCCATTCGCTCATTATACCTGTAATCTGATGAATTTCTGAGTGAATCAGGTTATTTAACAAAAAAAAAATTAGGATGGTACTTTATATTCATCAGGAAATGACAGAATTGTGAAAAGTGAAGGCAGATGTTGGACAAGGGTTGATAAGTAAGAGGGATTTGTGATGTCAGCTGAAAACTAGCAAGTTTTTACATTTGTATAATGATTATAAACGTTTTTATATGAAATAATGTGAACTAATTTTAAGGCCAATTCACACTCAGATTAGTACGTCATTTCTCAGATATTCCCATTTGACATTGCGGCAAACCGCAAATGAACATGTTCAATCGGCAAAAACAAGCGTTTGGCGTTGGTGGGTGTCTGTCGGTGCAGTGTGAATACTGAATAGGCCTTTACAGAATAAGACCAGGAATGTGCATTATAAAGAAATAAAGCAAATTTTGATTTCATGTTGACTTCAAGAACTTGTTTTAGTTCATCAGATCTCAGGGATGATTAAAACAAGATTCAGTGATATTTAGACCTTGTAGACAAACCGATTTGACTCCACAGTTTAAGGGTCTCAAAGATTGCCATGGATAATTTTAGGGCATTTCTCAGGGGCGATGCAGTGGGCGTTGTGTTCAACCAGTCCAGCGGGACACTGGCATCCTGGCACACAGGGTTTAAAGCAGTGAGCCTCGATCACACCGAGTGGCACGTCTTTATTAAAACACGTCTTAGGACACGGTGGCCCACACTCATCAAACACATAACCGCGGTCCAGCGGGCAACCCACAGCTGTAGGGATGGAAAAGAAAAAGCATGGCATTATACTAAAACACAACAAATCAAGTCAAATGAATTTATATATCGCTTTATACAACACAGATTGTTTACATGACACGAGCAAATCTTTTTAATCCTGTTAACATGCGATTTTCATTATTCTGATTATTCTCTGAGAATTGCGGTTCCCCACCCGTCACTGTCAGTCACTGCAATATTATGTCGACTTACAAATTTGGTCTCACTTGGGAGCCCCAATCACCTCTGAGTTTTAGAAAAACAGCCAATGGAATTGACAAGTGGAATTTGCATCCCGAACCACTCCCTCGTTCATACGGGTATTTAAGATGGCGGGACGCATCCACTCATACAGATTTTTACTTTGGTGCCAAATGGTTGCACAGCAATCCCTCTTCCAAACAGCAAGCAACGAGTGTGCTGCAGAGATCATTCACATTGCTGAAGAGGGCGCATTCAGTGGGTTTGGCCATTCTAAAAGAGCAGTGTACAGTTAAAGGTACTAACTTTTTTATTCTACTAAAGCATGAAAATGCCATAATATGTTTGCAGATATTTAGGAAACATGCTAAGTTCACATACTCGTTTATCTGAAAAACACTTTTACAGCCAGTTATTTTATTCATTATTTTACACGTTCCGTGTTCTCAGTCGGTTTTTGTTTTGGTATGTGTGATCTCGCCCACTGCCAGTTCATCCAATAGTATTTCGACACCCCGGGATGCCAGTTGGCAGGAAACACAGCGTATTGCAGCCTTGGAAACGAGCAATCAAACTGGGTCAGAGATTGCAGATTCCACACAATCCAAAAACCCTCGATATCCATCTCAAAATCTCTATGAACGAGAGCATATTAAAATGCGGATAAATCAACTCATCAACTTACAGCGTGTAAGTCTCCTGGGCTTTCATTGTCAATTGCGCTCGTTCTTTCGAGTGTCCTCAAACTGGCAACCCGCGTCAAATCTGAGGAGGAGGGGGCGGGGGAAACAACGATCTCCAATATTTTGAATTTGGACTGCAGTACCTATTTCGACCACTAGCTGTTATTCTTACAGACAGCACCTTTAAGTGCAGTGAAATTCTGTGCACTTCAGTGCAAAGAGCTCCGGTGCCTTTCTTCCCGGAAGTGCATGAGGAGGTTCAGAAGTTGTGGAAGCTTTCACTGCCTGAAGCCGCTTTGCAGCCTCCTTTCACTCTCACTACCCTCGATGGTGAGACCGCTAAGGGTTACGTGGAGATTCTCCAGGTGGAGCAAGCAATTGCGTTACATCCTGCCCCAGCATGACATTTCTGCCACCAGGCTGCGGGCTTCCCCCCAATCTCCCCCCCTACATCTGCTCCGGCACGACCGGAGACAAGACCCCCGGCTGCCCCGTCTAGCTTTCCACAGGAAGGCGAAGCAGCCCGTCCCCCAGGCCGCTTTCCAAATGTCTCTCAAAGGCCCTCGTCTCGGTTGCTCAGCATAAACATGTATGAGTGGATGCATGCCTTCATCTTATATACCCGTATATACGGGGGAGTGGCTCCGCATGCAAATTCCACACGCCAATTCCACTGGCCGTTTTTTCTAACTTGGGGGATCCCAAGTGAGACCCCATTTGTCAGTCGACATATCGTCTCCGTTCCCTCCAGCAGGGAATGAGGGTTACATCAGTAACTAAGACACCATTTTACTGCCATTATGAACGTATTATTTTCGTATAATGATACGATTATAGTTTTTATTCATTCATTTGGAATCAGTTTGCATTTTTATACTAACAGAAATAAAATAAGTTTAAGGTTTTAAAAAAAAAATGTTTTTAGTTTAAGTTAACTATAATAAACCTAACTCACATACAGTAGGTGTTACTGGCCAAGTTCTTCCAGCGTACATGGATTTGTTTACTGGTTCGTTCGTATCCAGACTCAGACATTTTTTGGATCAAAGTATTATGTTTACATGAGGTAAAGTTTCATCTCAAAATTGCCTAAATCTCACTATGAGGTTGCTTGTAAACATAGTAATTGTTGCAATGTTCATCAATTAAGAAACAAATTAAATTTAGCTACAAAGCAGCTCTACAGAAGGCAATAGTATCATTATTCAGCTCAGTGAACAGTTCGGTGTTGATTTAATTAGATTCAATTCAACGACAGTGTCAAAGTTACAAAGTTCATCAATTATGAAGCGGGACACTTGGTGCTCCCGTTACATTTTAGTAATCATCATAAATTAGGTATCATTCGAAAGCTTAAAAACTCAAAATTCATCCTGTGAAAAACGTTTTGAAATTGGACATTGAATTACCATGGAAACAGTACTTTAAAACCTTTTTGTGGACTCCTTAAAAAGGTATCAAACTTCTATAAAAGGACTCTATAGGACTAACTGCATGAGTATATCTCACTCACCGCAGAGTGTCGGCGACCTCCACTGCAGGATAACCCCGGCTTCACGGCACTCGGACGCGTAAGCCTCCAACACGTCACACAAACAATCATCCAAATTGGACCCGCAGGCGCACAGATCATACACACATGATGCAAAGAACATCTCGGGTGGCACCACCTTATGACAACGCTCAAACACGGGCGACTTCAGCACTGTGCAGCGAGCATTTGCGGTCTTACGGGCAGAGTATCCAGCCTCCTTACACGGATTAATGTTTTTCACATCAGAACACTGAACACTTGAATTTACACTGCCCACCTGCAAGGAAAATAATATTTCACATTAATATTCACATTTGAAACATATTAACTAATTACAATACAAGATTGTGTGACTAGAATGCGTTCTTCAGACATGTTGAGCTTTGGTGTTAAAAAGGGAAAACCAGGTTTGAAAATGACCATATCCCAATCCCCTTCCCGCATTCTCTACTGTCACATTTCTACTTTTGCTGGTCAACTACAAACCCACATATCAATCAACACATACAGCATGAAGATGTTTTAGTGTTTTAACCTTCCAGTTGTTTCCGAAAGCTGCTTCAGAATTGGCGATTTGTCCATTGCGAAGTTTCATGTCGTCCTGAGGGTAGTTATTGAAGTTGCCACATAAACCGCACATGTGCTTCTTGTAGCTACCAGGAACGCTAACTTCCACATGAGACCGGCCATTCCATAACACCTTAAATCACAATCATCAAATAAACAAATAAAAAGTGCTATGAAATTATATAAAATATTACAAAATAATAAAAATAAATGTGGGCAATCCATAGAGATAATGTGGCCTGGAAAGAATTTTATGAGAAATGTTTGAATTCATATTGAAATCTCAATTTTGATCTTTAGCATTTTAGCAAATCTGAGGGTCTTTTTTCTCAGGAGAAAAATCTAAGAAGCAAGAAACTTCTCCAAACATCTCTGTTTGCCCTATATTTCAATAAAGAAACACTTAAGGAGATCTTGTTCATGATGTTTCTTTCCTTTAGAAGATTAAACCCAAAGTGAATTCATACAGAAACTGTACCTTCAGCCCAACATTGGTGTTTAGGAGGATGGTGTTGGTCTTGCGCTCCAGGTAAACATACGGCTCTTTAAGAAACGGCAGGGAGACGGGTTGATAATCAACCTGATGTATCAAAGAAAAGGAAAACAAGCAACAAGCGGAGTTGTCAATATTCAACACTGATAAAAGTGTATAAAAGAAAAGCTGAAGGTAAATTAATAATTTAGCACATGGTTTTCTTAAATTTGGGTTTTACAAAGAAACTGCAGGGGTTCATTAGTTGATGAAAACATGATAATTAACGAAATAATTAAAAAATAAAAACAATCAAAATAAAACACTTACTAAAAACATTTACCTGCATGTCATGTGACCATTAAACAAAATCAGAGAACTGTAAACAATGCAAATGTTTTTCAAATATTAATTTAAAATCTCTCGGGGTACTTCAAGTAAATATTGTAGGTCAAAGCGGGTTTGGCTGACATAAAAGTTTGAGAATCCCTGATTTAGCTAATTATATCAGCTAAAATCATGTCTGTATGTGTAAGAAAGAAGATGGAACTGCGACAATGACATCATGACAAGTGAATATTCCATCATAAGTGAAAATATAAATATAAAAAAAAAACTATAGAAAATACTATACAAAAACAAAAATAGTTTTACACTATAAAAAGTACATATAAGAAAAATAGCATGTGTATGGTGAAAAGCGCACTGTAAAGGCCCGTTAGTGGACGCTAATATATTTATCGTTATAGTTATCATTCTTAGTGTGAACAGGCCTAAACGCATATTACCTTGACAATCCAGTCCTGAAACAGCTGCACCACAACATCTCCAATAAACACGGTCACTTCTTTAGTCCAAGACACTCCCCTACGTCCCCGGTCCTCATTAGACACATGGACACTGACACACACACATACGTCTCTTTAGACTAGTTTTGTGTGAAATTTTTGTGTGAACTATCCCTCTAATGCACAGTACACACTACTCTTCCAAAGTTGGGGTAGGAACGTTTTTTTAATGGTTTATATAAGGTCTCTTATGCTCACCAAGAGTGCATTTATTTGATAAAAAAATACAGTAAAAACAGTAATATTGTGAAATATTATTACAATTTAAAATAACTGTTTTCTGTTTTGTAATATATTTTAAAATGCAACTTATTCCTGTGATGGTAAAGCTGAATTTCCAGCATCATTACAGTCTTCAGAAATCATTCTAAGATTTTGATTTGCTGCTCAGTAAACTTTTTTTTTTAAATTATCAATGTAAAAAAAAAAAAAAACAGCTGTGCTGTTTAATATTTCTGTTGACACTGTGATACTTTTGTAATGATTCTTTGATGGACAGAAAGTCCAAAATAAAAGCATTTATTTGTAATCGAAATCTTTTGTAACATTTTAAATATCATTAGTCACTTTTGATCAATTTAATGCATCCTTGCTGAATATAAGTACATTTAAAAAAAAAAAGAAATCTTACTAGCCATTTTTTGAACAGTCGTGTAGATGTGAGTGAGAGAATATTCTAAGCACCTGAAGTTACTGCCCTCACAGTCCTGAGCTAGAACATATGTGCACGTCCCCTGGAAGTTCACCATCTTTCCATCAAACGTTCGATAGTGAGGGTCTCCAAACACAATGCAGGTGGCGGGGTGGGGAATGCAGTGAGGACAACACATTCCAGGAACCAGGGCCGGAGTTTCATCCTACAAACACACAAATGCCACAAAAACAGATTATACCTGAGAGAGGGGCCCAAAATGTCCTTGTCCTTAATATAGTACACTAACTTGTGAGTCTGCATGGTTTTTAAAATCAAATTAAAGGCTTTTTAAGACCAGCACATGTTTATGGTAAACATCCTAAAATGACTGTAAAAACCATAAAACAACTTTGCCGTTCAAATACAAATTTTGATAAAAAGGGCCTATTATTCCCCTTTTCACAAGATGTAATTAAAGTCACTGGTCTCCCCAGAATGTGTCTGTGAAGTTTCAGCTCAAAATACCCCACAAATAATTTATTCTAGCTTGTGAAATTTGCCCCTTTTTGCCGTTTTTGTGTGTTCCTTTAAAAGGAAATGAGCTGTTGCTCTCAGCAGTCTTTCCAGAAGAGGGCGAAACCTTTACAGCTCATACTTCAGATACTCCAGCAACAACAAAACTGGAGATTGTCATGCAGCCATAATCCATAAATTGTCACTAACAGTGTTCAGCCTTACATGTTCGAACCAGAGCCGGACACAGATGGAGAGATTTAGGAAGAAGTTACAACTTTTAGAATGCCACTGGACGTTTATGAATGGTTAGTGAATACATTTGTGTAGTTGTTGTGGAATGAAGTAGATTCAACTCATCGACTAGCTTGTTCTTTCATGTTAATCTAAAAACCATTCAGAAACAACTTTTGTGCAAATCCAGCATTGAACTGACCCTCGTGTGAAGCTTTCCGACGTAAAGTGATTTGCGCAAATATATAACACTTTAAAGACTTTCTTTGGCAGATTTCTATTCTATGGAGACTCTTATGTTCGTTGGTACAGAACATCGTTGGGACAGAACATTTGTAATATTTTTTTGGCGCAGACTTTGTATATCTCCAGCTGCTACAGCGAGGAAACAGAAATGGCGGACTGCTGCGGCTCTCTCAGGGCGGGGTCTATGCTAACAGGGCAAATCGCCACCAGTCATGGGCGGGGCTTCTGGAACTGCTTGTTTATGATTTATGGATATTATATAAAAAAGGAGTGGCTGGATTTTTACCATTATAGGCTGGTTGTTTACACACACTGTGGACACACATCTGTGTTCAAACACCTTATTAAAGTGAATTTTGCATAATAGGTCCCCTTTAAAGTCTAAAATGTAAAGTTTATACATTTATAAATCTTGCTTTTAAAAAAAGGGACGAGTAAAATATGATTATATATAATATTCTAGAACCGTATTATTCTACATTTTGAATGCACATCTGTTTTTTCATTAGTTATCACAATAAGCCACCATCGCAATTCCAGGTTTTCCAGACCCAAATTTATAACCTGTTGAAATGATCATTAAGACCTTTCTTCTCCCATTTAAGATATGTAACTTTATATAAAAGACTTTTCATGACCTTAAAATTGATAAAAACTAAAAGGTATGACTTTTTAAGGACTCACAGGGACCAACATTTAAAAGCTTGACAACAAGTTTCAAACTATGTGAAGTCCTCACTAATATAACCTCAAAGATGCATATCGTCATCTTACCGAGGCACACGTGAGCGTTGGGCATCTCTGGGTTTGGCAGTGCACGTCTCCGGACACACAGGTGCAGGTCGTACACTCATCCACCTCCCAGTGGTCATTGGGGCTGTACAGCTGTCCCTCGTACACACATTGTGCACCAGTGTCTATGGAGTAGACTACGGTTGTGATGCCTTTGCACTCTAGACAGCACTTCCCAGGGTTCTTCACTTTGACTGATCCATCCGGACAATCAAGAGGAGGACACTCCTGCAGATCACACTCGATGTGCCCTTGCTAACACACACACACACACACACACACACACACACACATGAGTTACTTTAAAATGTGCTTACTACTGCATTAAACAATCAATCAGGTTCGTTTGCTTGATGTGAGATTTGTTTACCCTAGCATTCTTTAGCCAATCATTTACATATTGCTTCTAATAAACTTATTACAATTATATCTGATGAAATAGTACGATCATCACATGATCACCTTTTGCTTAAAATGCTATAAACAGCAGCTATGCTAATTCCCTGTTTCTATATTGGGATGCCCATCCTGAGGTAACAATAGATTGCGTCAGCTCCAGTTTGGAATCAGCCTTTGCAATGATTTAAGTTGCCGTAGACAATCGTGAAGACTTTAGACCCAGCTAACAAAAATATGTTCTTAGAAAGTTTTGATAACATTAAAGTTAACTAACCACATTACAAACTATTTTATAGCTGTATACTGTATATATAACTGCCATATGAACATTACTTTGACACGCTATAGCAGGTCTGATAGCAGAGACTGATAGCAGAATACTTCCTAAATTTTAACATTGAAAACATGCATTTGAAAAGCTGCTTTGAAACTATTTGTAGGCCTGTTGTGAAAAGTGCTACAGAAATAGACTTGAATTGTCACCATAACAACAACTTCCTGATAAAACCGACAAATAACGTAAAACCATCAAAACGTTTTTTTTTGTTGCTTAAAATTGTGTCTGTGTTTCTCCTGCAATAGTTTCATTTTAGTTCCCTCACATTGCAGATGCAGGTGATACACTCATTCTCCTGGTCTGTCCATCTCTGTCCGCTTAGTACGTGGGTTTCGCCCTCTAATACACACTCTGAGACAAACACATATACAAGTGAGCACACATACACTGGAAGAAGCGACGTTGCATTATTTCTGATAGCGAGACTGTACCGTCACAGACGGGGCAGCAGGAATCAGGGTGTGTGCGCTGATAATCCGGAGGGCAGCTGAGAGGAGGACAGCCTTGATGAATACACGTCCATGTCAAATCCTAAACACACACATAAACGTCATCATTCCATATCAATGCACATGGCTTTATAAAACAGCAGTGCGTTTAGATACCTTGCACTGACAGGTGAAACACGGATCATCAGTGGCTAACACTTCATTACCGATCAGTGTAGCTGTGCAGTTACTGAGGGGCTCTGAAACACAAACCACAAGAATTAAACAATCAACAATTCAACTATATGATAAAGATTTGAAAAGACTTCTTCAAAGAGTCTCATATAAGTTATGTTAACAAATGTTATAGATCTTAGTCAGAATAAACACCATATTTTGATGTAATTAAAGACCCACTCCGATGAAAATAATGTTTTTCTAGGTGTTAACATGTTCTTGTGGCATTTTTCTGATGTTAGAGGACATATCTTGAGAAAAATAAGCTCAAAGTTGTATTTCTGAGTATTTCTACATTCAAATGGCTGTGAATCAGTAGCAGACGCTAAAATGCTGGCTAAAATAGACTGGAGTTGTGACGTAGTAACTCCACTGGGCGTCTCCACACGCGACGTCTTGGAGTGAAATAATGATCGGTGATCGGTGATAACTTTGATTAACTTCGGATAATAATAATTAACGTGTATATAATACTGTTGCCCCACCGGTATTGGGGGTGTAAGCTAGCGGGAGAGACAGAGCTCTCAGCAACGGGCAGGGGGAGGGTCGTCTCCGTGCCAACGGCTCCGCCCACAACGCAGAGGCGAATTGCTAATGAGCAACTGCCGCTCTGCTGAAGCGAAGTCCCAGAAAACGGCACAGGTTTTGTGATTTTGGCTAAAAATGGCATAATCATAATTTAAAGACCACTGGGAATGTTTAAAAATAGCTCAAAATATGATCGGAGTGGGACTTTAAAGTCTGTCATAAATACAGTTTGTTCAGTTTGTTCAAAATGTTGCATTTTTGAAATTGAGTCTTTATAATTTAGCTGAAAAATACTGAAAATATGTCTTAGTGTAGAAAAAACTTTCTGAAAATTGGTTTTAATTAGAAAATTTACATTACTTAAATCTCTTAAAATTTATTTTTGCTCATCTCAAATGAAATATGGCATATAATACAATCTATTTTCAACAGGATCTATAGCTCAGCATCAAAATAAACAGGGTTATTATCCCACGGCTTTAAGGAATACTTGATTCTTATATTGAATGTACAATATCCCAAAAAATAAACAAACAAACAAATATTCCAAAAAATAAACAAACAAACAAATAAATGGACATATGGACATGAAATACACACAAATATTTACTAATATAATATTTATTAATATTTTTAATTAGCTTTTTTTCCCTTTAGTTCTAACTTTAAGTTACTCTAACTAAGGTTTAGTAATTATTTAATGTGCTTTTGTCATTTTAATTTTTTTTATATTTCTATTTAGCTTTTTATTTCCTTTTTAGTTTCAGTTATTTTAGTACTTTAACTTACACTTATTTATTTAAGTTAATTGCCAAGACGATTTATTTCAATTACCAAAAACATTTTTTTTAATAGTTTTAGTTAACATGATAACAACACTGATAGAGATTTGACTTCAATTTGTTAACATTAAGTACTGTATTACAAACTAACAATACAATTATATAAATGTTAATATATAATGAGCAAACAACATTTATAAATATACTTTTGCTCTTTTTTTACTTTGTTTTTGTAAAGTGTTACCAATTAATTTCATATGTGAGAAGAAAGAGACTATAGAGTTATACGAGAAACACGAAACTAGCACAGCAATGTAGAAAAACTGTCCACAGCGGTGTTCATACTAACGTGCACAGACAGGGCAGCAGGAGTCAGAGCCGCTGTATAGGATATTGTGTTTAGGACAGTCCACCAGACTCGGGCACTGCTTCCTATAGCAGCTCAAGTGCTGTTCCCCGTCTGGCATCACCTACAACACATACACACACCGTAAAGCAAGCAAACCAACATATGCGCACAAAATGTTGTGATGAGCCATACCTCACAGGTGCAGATCTGACAGTGGTCACCAGAAGGGTGGAAACTCTCTCCAGGGCCGTACACACGGCCCTCAAACACGCAGTCTGACAGAAGAAAAACACATTTAAAACATTAAACTTCCAAAACAACACTATGCATGCACAAAACTGTTTGTAGGGATTGTAGTTGTACCTGCACACACTGGGCAACATTCTCCAGGCACGCTGATCTGGTTTAGACAGGTGGAGAGACAGTGGACCTTCGAGCAGGTGGTCACTCCATCCACACACATACAGGACATGCAGGGACCACTGGATAGAAACCAGGTACTGCCTTCAATGTGCTCGACACCGTCATAAAAACAGCCTGAAAGAGAGACAGGTCGGTTTAGTAGCACTTATTTTAGTGAGATCTTATTTAAAGGGATAGTTTATCCAAAAAAGAAAATTCTTTCCAAAATAAATCCAAATCCATCTTCGGGAACACAAATGAAGATACTTTTAATGAAATCTGAGATATTTCTGTCCTTCCATTGAAAGTCTATGAAATGAGGTTTGTTCTCGTCAAGCAAGTATGGCTGAGCTTCTGTTTATATTTACTGGTCAATGTCTACAGTATATGTAAAAAAAAAAGAAGCCTAAATTAAATCTGTTCATCATATTAAGCGATTGTGATTCTTCAGAAGACTTGGATTAAGCCCCTCGATTCATATGGATTTATTTTACCATCTCTTTATGAACGTTTTGAGTTTTGGGTGAATAGACTTTCAATGGAGGGACATAAATCTCTCAGATTTAATTACAAATATTTTCATTTGAATTACACAGATGAACGAAAGTCTTATGGGTTTGGAACGACACAAGGGTGAGTAAATGATGACCGAATTTTCATTTTTGGGTGAACCAACGCTTTACGTCTTATTTAATATCATTTAAGATTTGCATTAATGTTTAATAAAGTTTTTTTTTTTTTTTTATATGTATAAATAATATAACTAAATTTAATAAATTAATTGTATTTTTATGAATACATTTTATTTCATTAAATTGTCATTTTAAAACAAAATAAATAATAATAATAATTTATAATGTACTCATTCAAAACATAAAAAGGGTCATTCATTAATCAAAGGTATTGTATTCACAACCATAAGCACATTACATATGACCACCATGAGTTTAGCATATCTTAACAGAGGTAATTTGTATACAGAAGTTTTAAAGGTACAGCAGCAAAAGCAAATTGTTTTTGTTTAAGTCTAGGGGTCACAGAAAGGCTGGTAAAATATCATGAAAAACTAAACTGATCCAAAGAAATTTGACTAACATTATAAGTCAATGTCAGGAAAAAAATTTGTATATGTCCTAATTTATTTGTCTGTACCTCTGCAGCGGGGACAGCAGGAGCCGGGAT